CCCACGCCTATATTTGAGGCGTCTGTCTGTACTATGAACGTTTTTGAGAAGTCTGGCTGCATCAGTAACGGTGCTTGCGCGAGATGTTGTTTTAACTGCTGGAAGGCGGTTTCGCACTGCCCTCTATCCTGTTAGTGGTTCGGCTATTGTGGAGAAGTGGGGTATGAACCGCCGATAGTAGCCTGCGAGCCCCAGGAACTGGCGCACCTGTTTCTTTGTCTGCAGGGTTTGGTAGCCTCGTACTGCCTCGACCTTATCGATCTGCGGCTTTAGTCTGCCCCCTCCTATGACATACCCCAGGTAGGTGACCTCAGTCCTCCCGAAGACACACTTACGGGGGTTTGCTGTCAGCCGGGCTTCTCTCAGCACTCCCAGGACTGCCCTTACATGCCGCAGATGCTCTTTCCAGGAAGTACTATAAATGACCACGTCGTCAATATATGCCGCCACGTACCCCTGGTGATCGCGGAGGAGACGATCCATCAGCCGCTGGAAGGTGGCTGCGGCTCCATTCAGGACGAAGGGCATCATCAGGAAATGGTACAGGCCAAACGGGGTGGCGAAGGCCGTCTTCTCTTGAGAGGCTGGTGTGAGTGGAATTTGAGAGTACCCCTTTGTGAGGTCGATCGTGGACAGGTACCGGGCTTGTCCGAGCCTTTCTAGGAGCTCTTCAGCTCGTGGCATCGGATATGCATCAAATTTGGACACCGCATTGACCTTTCTGAAGTCTGTACAAAAGCGGAGGGTACCGTCATGCTTGGGAACCAGCACAATGGGGCTCCGCCAGCCACTCCACGACTCTTGTATCACCCCGCTCGGAGCATTTTCTGTACCTCCTCTCGCACTGGCTCCCACAATTTCCTAGGTAGAGGTTGTAGGGGTTCCCGTACCTTGATCCCCGGAGTGGTCTGGATGTGGTGGCATGCCACCGGGGTCCGCCCAGGCTGTGCTGACATGACCTCTGTGAATTCTTGGAGGAGCGCCTGGATTTCCCCCTTCTGGGCACCCGACAGGGTCTCGCCGAGGGTGACCCCGGTTTCTGGCTGGGTCAGGTCCCCTCCCCAGGGTCCCAGCTCTGGTTCCGCCAGTTGGGTGGTTGCTACCAGGCCCTCACGTGCCGTCCATTTTTTTAGCAGGTTCATGTGGTACAGCTGGGTACTTTTCTGTTTATCGGTCAATCGGACTTCATAGTCCACGGGGCCCACTTGCTGGATGACCTTGTAAGGGCCTTGCCATCGGGCCATCAGCTTGGACTCGGCCATCGGTAACAGGAGTAGCACCCTGTCCCCAGGGGCAAAGGTGCGGCTCCTTGCTCCCTGATTGTAGCATCTGGCTTGCTTTTCCTGCGCCCGCCTTAGGTTCTCCCTGGCCAGCTGTCCTGCCACTTTAAGCCTTCTTTTCAGGTTAAGTATATACGGGACCATCCCTTTCACTCGCGAGCCCTGTTCTTCCCAGCCTTCCTTCACCAAATCGAGGATGCCGTGGGGTTGGCGTCCATATAATAGCTCAAAGGGCGAAAACCCGGTAGAGGCTTGCGGGACCTCCCGTACTGCGAATAAGAAGGCTGGCAGGAACAGGTCCCAGTCCCTGGGGTCCAGCCCTACGATCTTTCGGCGCATTGATTTCAGGGTACAATTGAAACGCTCCACCAGCCCGTCGGTTTGGGGGTGGTAGACCGTGGTTCGTAGCTTTTTCACCCCCAACAGTTTGCACAGGTCTGTCATGACCCGGCCGGATACGTTTGTCCCCTGGTCTGTTCAAATCTCACGGGGGATTCCCACCCTTGCGAAGACCTTCACCAGTTTGGCTGCTAGGACGGGCGCCTTAGTGCTACGTAGGGGCACAGCCTCTGGGTACCGTGTGGCGTAGTCCACGATAACTAAGATGTATTGGTTGCCCTTTGCTGACCTGTCTAAGGGTCCCACCAGATCCAGCACGATCTGTTCAAATGGGATATCTACTACCAGCAAGGGGACTAGTGGTGCTTTCGGCACTCTTCCACCCCCCGCCTTCTGGCAGTCCAGGCAGGACTCACAAAAGTCTTTGGCCTCTTTGTAGATCCCGGGCCAATAAAAGCACTGCAAAATCCTTTGCAGGGTCTTCTCCACCCCCAAGTGGCCAGCCCACGGGCTGGCGTGGGCCAGGTCTAGCACCCGCCACCGGAATCGCGCCGGCACCAACAGTTGGTATGTCTCCCCCAGCTCCCCCGGTCGAGTTGCGACCTGATATAAACGGTCAGCCCTTACCTTGAACAGTGGGCCCGCTGGAGTTGTCCGGCCGGTGTCAGAGCCCTCACTGGCCTGTTCCCATGCGTGCCTCAGTGAGGGGTTTTCTCGCTGTTTGCGTAGGAAGTCCGGTTCTGTCCCCACCTCGCTTGTGCCCTCCGGGTTGGGCTGCGTCTCGGCCGACTGAGCCTCCGTGGTTTTCTGGCTGGCCCTCTGGGCCTGAACTGCTTCAGGGCTCGTCGGCCCATGGTTCCGTCTGCACCGGGCCATCGAGTCTTGGAACCCCATTCGGTCCCGTCCGAGAATCACGGGGTATGCCAATTTCAGGGCCACTGCCACCCGGCACCAGGCCTGCCGTGGCCCTTCCCTGATGGTCACCACTTGTGTGGGGTAATGCCTCACCTCCCCGTGGATGCACTGCACTGCTACCGGTGGGCCCCGGTCCCCCGTTTTTGCTGCCAGCCCCCGTCTAACCAGCGTCTGGTTGCACCCACTGTCTACTAACGCCCAGGCCGATCGCCCATCCACGCTTACCTGGACCGTCATCCAGGGTAGGTTGTGGCATGGCGGTGGCCTTGGGGTGGGCCTTGCGCGGCCATAGGAATAGTCCATGAATGGGCAGTCTCTATGAAAGTGGCCGTCCTAGCTGTATTCGAAGTAGGGCCCCCCGTTTCCCAGGGGCTTGGTGGTGGTGTCTGACCGGGTCCTCCTCCCTGTGACGACGCGTCGGGGTTTTCCCATCTCCTGCACCCCGAAATGGTATGAACAGACTTCACCAGCCAGTAGAATGGAGGTTGTTTATTGTTCCTCCAGCACAGCGCAGCACAGATGTAATCTGGTTACAGGAACTGGGGCTAAGAGGCCTCAGTGCCCCCCTTGAGATAGGGGAGTCCCAGCCCCCCTCCCCAGCCCCTTCTTCCCTGCCTTCCAGCCAGGAACTCACTCCCCCTCTTCCAGCCCTGCCCACAGCCAGGGCAGCATTCCACCTCCCTTTGTTTCTCCCCATGGGGGGCCGCAGGTCAGACAGGTTTTTGAGTCATCTTTGCATAATGAGGTTTTCCCTGCTGGGTCTTGCAGAGGTCACCACAGCCCAGCAAGTACCCCCACTACGTCACACTCCCCATCACCCCCAAGGAATAGGGCGTGCTGTCCAAGCCCCCCGTCCCCGTATCGGTCAGGCTTTACCTGTGGTAGCTGGAGTTCGTCCCAGTGTCCTGGTGCCTTTTGGACTGCTTTCTTTTCCTTCCACTGCCATGTAGTTCTCGAGAATCGAGGTGGCCTCCCCCAACGTTGTGGGTTGGTGTTGCTGGACCCAGACCCGGCTATCAGGCGGTAGGATCTGTAGGAATTGATCTAACATGATCATGTCCACCACCTGCACTGAGGTCTTGCGTTCCAGGTTGAGCCATCGGGTGGCGGCCTCCTTTAGCCATTGCACCATGGCCCTTGGCCATTCTCCTGGTTGGTATTGCTCAGCCCTAAACCGTTGTCTATAGGCCTCCGGGATGATGCCGGCCTGGTCTAAAATGGCTTCCTTTACCTTCCTATAATGCAAAGCGTCCCTTGCGGACAAGCCCCTGTATGCCCACTGTGCGGACAAGCCCCTGTATGCCCACCGTCAGGTACGGCGCCAGCAGGGTTGCCCAGTGTTCTTCGGGCCACCGGGTGGCTGTGGCCACCCTCTCAAAAGTAACTAGGAAAGCCTCCGGATCATCCCCCTCTGTCATTTTTACTAGTCTTAGTGGCAGGGCCAGGGCTGAGCCTCAGGCCCCCTCCCCAAGTGCCCCTGCTGACCCGCCCCCCGGCTTTTGCTGGTGCTCTACTAATTTGCGGACCAGCTGCTGTTGCTCCGTCAACTGTTGCAGCAGTTGGGTCTGCTGCTGTTGCTGCTGGTTCTCCGCCAGCCATTCCAGCAGCTTACCTATCTCCATCTCTCCGGTTACTATTGTGTCTCCCTAAATCCTACCTTCCCCTATATACACACCCCGTGTTTTTTTTTAAAGGGTTCACCGCTTCACCCCCCTTTCTGCCCACATTCTCCACCAGTGTGGCAAGGTCCGTACCATCCATCCTTACGGCACCCCCCCTTTTCTTAGTCTTTCCCCTTAAAATCCTTTCTCTCGCCCAACGTCTCTCCGGTTACTATTGTGTCTCCCTAAATCCTACCTTCCCCTATATACACACCCCGTGTTTTTTTTTAAAGGGTTCACCGCTTCACCCCCCTTTCTGCCCACATTCTCCACCAGTGTGGCAAGGTCCGTACCATCCATCCTTACGGCACCCCCCCTTTTCTTAGTCTTTCCCCTTAAAATCCTTTCTCTCGCCCAACGTCTCGGGTGGCCGGGCGTACCCCCGGCCCCGGCTTTACTCTTTGGTGCGCTACCAGCCGCCGCCGGGCCCATCCGGGTTGGGCGCTTGTTGCAGACGGGTTCCGCCCGCCCCCGCCGAGCCTCCCGCCGGGGTCAGTTGTGGCATCCTGGGGAACCACCGCTCGGGTTTCCTCCTGTCCTCCGCACGCCTCATCTCCACCTGCGGGGGTTGAGAGCACAGCCAGCTCCTGCTCCCCCCCCTCCTTGGTTCCCAAGCTCGCCCTTTAGGGCTTTCCGGGCGGATCCCCGCCCTCCTGCGCTCACTGCGCCGGGGCACCCACTCCTGGGTCCTAATGCCCTCCCGCCTGGAGTTCCGCCTGCTGGCGGCTGTGCCGACCGTCAGCTCTGGGCTGCCCGCAGCGGCATTGGTGCTCTCCCCACCTGTGGGCAACAGCGGGCCGCCAAGACTCGTCATGACTTGGTCCTCGGTCAGCCGTGCCCCTGCTACGGCTGCCTTCGGTCCTCCCCAGCCGTTGGCACCCGCCGACCAGCTGGGTCGAGTGCGGGGATCGTCTTCCCCGTCACAATGACCAATGTTAATTTGGGGGGCAATGTAAATATACCTTTTGAATGGCTTGTGTACATGCACCAATTTCAAAGTCTGGTCCCTTGCCATGGAAGATACGGGTTAACTTTTGATCCAGGTTTAATGAAATCAGGAATTTTTAAGCAATCCTATAAAGTATGGAAATTCAGATGAACAGCAGTCCACAGCTGTAGTTGCTTCCTTTGGCCCAACCCTTGTAAGTGCAGATCATAATAATCATTAATGCTCAAGTTTTGCTCCATCTGTCGACTAAATTACCCAGAAAGGTGGAAGGAGGAGGTGAAGCCTTGGTTGATATTGAGGGAAAAGTTAATGCTTATAAAACAGAGTAACAGCATTGGCAGTTCCTCCTACTCCCCCCTGAAAATGCTCTGTGGTTTCAGGAACACATTTCTAATGTGACATAAACTAGCAGCAAGAGTGCATTCACAGGACCGCTGGTGGATGATCTTGTCAGCTGCAATTTTCATTTTGGAGGAAATGTCTTCCACCACTTTCCCTTAATTCAAGTTACTGTCCTGCACTGATTCCTAGAGTGAACACTTTGGATAGTATTCATAGTCTTCATTCTGAATAGAAACAGAGAAAAAGTTTAAGGGGATGTTTCATATTGCTGTTAGATAACTTTCCATAACATTAAGAATGAGGGTAGTGCTGGATCCCTTCCACGCACAGCATTAATGAAATTTACCTATGTGAAACACAAACATCTGCACAAGCTAATAGATGTCTGTATTATGTTCCATTTTTACTTTCAATAGAATAATGTGAGATGAACATACCTCAAGATTTAGAGGATGTTTTTTGTTTGGATAAGCAAAGTGGAACCTCATTCTAACTACCAGCACCTCTCAAGACTGGAAAATCTGGGCTGGAAATCTCACAAAGAACAAGAATTCAGTGTGTGATTTCTGGTGCTACTCATCTGCCCAAGAACATTTAATTCATAACCTGAGAAATTATAATTTGTGTAAATACATTCAACATCTCAGATTGTTTTATCTAAACGGAATAAAAATTTCCTATTTACTATCTATTAAAAGAAATTATTCTCTGTCCTATGTGAATTGGAAAACCATTGTCCTGATCTATGCAATGTCAGTATAAGAACACAATGTGAACAGGATCACAAAATGTGAGGGGGTAGCATGGCTACAATTTCTTCTATAATTAGGGAATTGCTTTGTATTTAATCAGAAATCTCAAAACCCAAACAAGTACAGCTGATGAGCATAATTGAAATGTATGTTTTGAACAAGTTATGAGAGTAAAACTTGTCATCTGACCATAAACCTTAAAACAGAACTAACCAAATGGGCCTGTGAACTGATTTTATTATATGAGGATTTGTACTATGGTCCTGCGATGAGCTTCATTAAAATGTATTAGGTCATATTCAGTTGAAAAGGGCCAAATTCCTGTGATCCTTACTTGGTTTTTACATGCAAACTCCTATTAAAATCAATGAGAGTTTGCCTGAGTGACTGAATAGGGCATCTTCTATACTATATAGCTGGTAAATCAGAACAAGAAGTGCTTAGATACAGCGGTAATTGGCCATCACAGAAAAATCCATGCTAGAGGGAGAAGGTCTGACCTAAATGTCTATCTTGGCCTTTACCTGCCCTTATTCAACTCGAGTTCCTCACATGAGGTATGTCTACATTATAGAGTTTTGTCAGAAAACCAGCCATTTTTCTAACAAAACCTGAGTTTCGTCCAGACTGCAAAAGTAAATCTTCCAAAAGTAAATCGAAAGAACAGAGGGGCTTTTCCGGCGTTGGTAATCTTGTTTCTATGAGGAAGAAGCCTTTTCCGAAAGAGCTCTTTCAGAAAAAGGCATGTATGGATGGGGAAGAGGGCGTTATTTCGAAAGAAGAAGAAAGAGGAAAAAGCACAGGTGCCCTGGTGGCCATTCCATCTATAGTAATCACAGCTTAAATGGGAGATAGCATCTACACTGAATGGACACTATCTTCTGAAAAAGCAGATCTCTTTTTCGATGTGCTTTTGTGTGTGGACGCTCTCTCTCAGAAGAAGGGTTTTTGGAAGATCTCTTCCAAAAAAAGGTTCTTCTGAAAGAAGCCTGCAGTCTAGACATAGCCACGGACTACTTCTACACTGCCACTGTCAGAGCAAATTGGTTTAATATTTTAAATGATAATTTATAGAGACAAGTTTTGTGCTTTTATTTCTACATAAGTTCATAGAATCATATGTGATTAGGTTTGGAAGAAACGTCAGGAAGTCATCTAATCCAACCCCCTGCTCAAAGTAGGATGAACCCTATATAAATAATCTCAGCAAAGGTTTTGTCAAGTTGTACCTTACAAACCTCTAAGGGTGGATATTTCACCACCTCCTTAAGCAACCCATTCCTGTGCTTCACCACCCTCCTAGTGAAACAGTTTTTCCTAATATCCAACCTAATTTAGTAGGCTGCTATCAAATCCCCTCATCACTTTTTTCTTCTGCGGACTAAATATGTCCAGTTACCTCAGCCTCTTCTTATAAATTACATGCTCCTACCCCCTAAGCATTTTTTGTTTTCTAATTAACTCTCTTCAATTTCTCCATACCCTTTCTATAGTGGGATGCCCAAAACTGGAGGCAGTACTCCAGAAGTGGCATAACCAGTGCCAAATAGAGGGGAATAATCACTTCCCTTGAACTGCTGGTAATGCTCCTACTAATGCAGCCCAATATGCCATTAGCCTTCTTGGAAACAAGGACATATTGTTGAATCACATCCAGCTTCTCATCTACTGTAATATCCAAGCCCTTTTCTGCAGAACTGCCTCTTAGCCAGTTGGTCTCCAGCCTGTAGCAGAGGATGAGATTCTTTCACCCTAAGTGTAAGACTCTGCCTTTTTCCTTGATGAACCTCATCATATTTCTTTTGGCCCAATCCTCCCATTTGTCTAGATCACTTTGGACCCTAACCCTACCCTCCAGTATATACACCTCTCTTTCCCCCCTTCCCCGCTCCCACACACACTTCAATGTCATCTGAGAACATGCTGAGAATGAAATTCATCTCATCATCCAGATCATTAATGAAGATGATGAACAAAACAGAACCAACCCCTGGGGCCCTCCTCTTGATATCGGCTGCAACTTGCCATTGATCACAATCCATTGATTCTACTGGCCTGGCCAGCTTTCTATCCCCCTTATAGTCCATTCATCTAATCCATACTTTAACTTGCTGGCAATAATGTGGGAGACTGTATCAAAGCTTTGCAAAAGTCCAGGTATCTCACATCCACCATTTCCCCTATACTCACAGAGCTAATTATCTTATTGTAGAAGGCAATTAGGTTCATCAGGTATGATTTGCCCTTGGTGAATCCATGTCGACTATTCCTGATCACCTTCTTTTCCTCCATGTGTTTCAAAATTGATTCTTTGAGGATCTGATCCAGGATTTTTCCAGGGACTGAGGTGAGGTGATAATGCCCTAGATTCTCTTCCTCCCCATTTTTAAAGATGGGCACTCCATTTGTTTTTTTTTCTAATTGTTTGGAATCTTGTTCAATTGCCATGAGTTTTCAAAGATAATGGCCAATGACTCTGCAATCACATCAGCCATCTCTGTCAGCCCCCTTGGATGCATTAGATCTAGATCCAGGGACTTCTGCATGTCCAGCCTTTCTATATAGTCCTTTACCTGTTCTGGCACTACTCAGAGCTGCTTTCCCCCTATGATGCCCATTGCAGCAATCTGGGGACTGACCTTGTCTGTAAAGACCAAGACAAAAAAAAAAAAGCATTGAGTACTTCAGCTTTTTCCACATCACCTGTCACTAGGTTGCCTTCCCCATTCAGTAAGCATCCCACACATTCCCTGGCCAACTTGTTGTTGCTAACACATCTGTAGAAAAACCTCCGTATCCTTCACATCCTTGCTAGCTGCAACTTCAGTTGGCTTTCCTAATCACACCCTCAAGTAATGCTCAAGTAATATTTTTCTACTCCTCCCTAGTTATCTGTTCAATTTTCAATTTTCCACTTCTTGTAAATTTCCTTTTTGTGTTTAAGGTCACAGAAGATTTCCCTGTTAATTCAAGTTGATCACTTGTTATATTTGCTGTTCTTTCTGCACATGGGATGGTTTGTTTCTGCACTCTCAATAAGGCTTCTATAAAATACAGGCAGCTCCCCTGAATTCCTTTCTACTTCATATACCTCATTCTAACTGTACTTACTATGCTGTCCTTAGAGTGGTCATCTGTTACTTATTGAGTGGTTAATCTTCCACATTGTAATTTTCTTTGTTAGGAAACTGTAATATGGACTCTGGGCACAATTAATTTACAAAATTACTTCTGTCTGAATCTTGTTAGTATTCTTTTCTCTCTTGCTTTTATGTTATATTATACTGCAGACACTGGGGGTGTAGATTACTGTCAAGCTGCCCAGGTAATATTTAACCAACTGCTTTCCCTTTTGGAAAGAACCAGACAGGAGTGATAATCCTGACCCTGGTCCTTGGACTGTGCTTATACCATGTAAGATATAATGGCTGCCTCAGGAAGACGTATTTGTTGCACTTTCTCCTATTTTTATTATATTTCTTTAAGTACATTCATTTATTGGCCAATTTCACAAATTGAAGTGTGCTGCTGTTGGATGAATGAGGGATGAATTCTCCTACTGCATCTAATACACATGTTCTTTAATTAATAACAATAAATAAATTAATTCATCCCCCACTCAGTCTGCCAACAGTATGTTAATCAAGTCATGCCAAGAAATGCTGAACATGGAATCTCAGACATCAGAAATTTATCATTTGACCAAGTCTCCTGGGGGATTCAGTGGCCACATGGTTTCCTGACTCCACATAAACTGATACTTGTTTTATTTACAAAAGATTATTTGGGGATGTCATTCTGTATAATAATTAATTAACATAATCAATTATGTAATTTTCAATTCAATCATTGTATTCTTCTCTGAGACATAATCCAATGTGATGTGTATTGTAGATATATTTATTAAGCATTGTTTATAATCTGGTTTTCATTGTTTTTTTTCTTGCTTATACAGCCCTGCTGGAATAGTATTGAGAGTAATTTAACTTTTTAAATAAGTAATATGTCTTGCTAGTCCAATTTGATATGCAAAATAAAGTTAGAGTAAATACAAACCACTCGATTCCTGAAGTCCTTAGTTTTTGTGTCTCATTCTCTAGAGGATGGTAGTTTATCACCACTAATGGAATTGGCACTGGCCATTTATATGTCCCACCCATCATCCCCATTATCCCCATAGTGTCTAAGAAACTCTCGAACACCATTGCATTTATCCTCACAAGACCCCTCATCAGTGGAGAAATATCTTCCTCATTTTAAAAGCTGGGCAACAGTGGCACAGAGAGTTTGTGATTTACCCACAAACACACAGGAAGCATACAGCAGAGCTGGGAACAGAACCCAGCTTTGCTGATCCTGAGCCACAACTTCAAATATAAGGCTAGCCTTCCTTCAGCTACTAAGGCATGAACTGGGACTACCAGTTCACATCAGACAGGCAATAAAACAATCATTTATGGTGAGAGTGAGCA